CATCAGCAAATTTTTAAGGACCCCAAACACTTCTTATGTTAAACATTAAAATGAATGTGAGCTATACAGTTATTTAAGAAAGATGAACAAAAATAAGTCATATCATTCTTTTCCAACCCACTTATTGCCGTTCAAGGTCATGGTTGCCGAGAGACTGTTCCAACCCTGGTCATGCAAAGCGGGAACTCTTCTGGGTGGGACACCCTCCCATTTGGGGCACACTCACATCCACCCACGCTCACTCACACTGGGACACATCTCTGGGATGTGGGAAGAAACCCATGTCCACATCTTAGGCCCATCACCCATGTGCACATTTTAGACAGGCCAATCACCCATGTGCACACCTTTGGGATGTGGGGAGAAACCGGTGTCCCTGGAGAAAACTCATGCAGACACAGGCAGAACCTGCTAAGTCCACACAGACAGTGGCCCTGGCTGGGAATCAGTTTTTATTTTTCTTTCTCATCAATGTTATAACAAAACAACGTTTTTCGGGGACCTGCTGTATATGAATAGTCAGTTGCTAATAAGTACGATGGAGAAGAAAAACAAAACCAAAGAGGGAAAGGGGAGCAGAGAATGCCAGCCTGGGAGGGGCTACAGTTCTGAAGAGCATGGTCAGGGAAGGCTTCTCTGAGATGCTGATACTTGAGCAAAGCCCTAAAGAAGATGAAAGAGCAAGACATGCAGAAATCGGGGGCAGGGGTGGGTGGTGGGCAAGGGAAGGAAGAGCCAGGGCAAAGGCCACAGGGTGCAGGATGCCCGGCACCTTCATGTGGTGTGAGATCAGTTGTGGAAGAGAGGTCAGGGAGACGATGGGGCCAGTGCAGCATAGGAGCAGATCGTGCTGAACTTGGAAAGCCATGAGTAAGTTTGAAAGCCACTGAGCAGAGAGGTGACACAGCGAGGAGGGAAATTGGTTGGAGACTGTTGCATAATCCAAGTGAGAGATGGTGAAGGGATGGACCAGGCGTTTTCCAGTGGAGATGGAGAAAAGTGGTCAGGCAGTAATGACATTTTGAAGGTAGGGCTATGGGGATTTTTTGATGGACTAGGAAAAGTGAAGTAGAGGATGCCTCCAATTATTTGAGGCCTGAATAATTGAAAGAGTGCGACTGTCCTTTACTGAGGAGGTGACAGAACACCGAGGGAGATCTGGGTGCATACTGCTGTGTTTCTTACTCACTTGCCACACCTGTGTATTTTTTTTTTCTTTTCCTTTTCATATTTGCTTTGAACACTGTGGTGGAGGCTTTGAATTGAATTTTTTTTTTAATCTCTCTTACATGTGGTAAACACTTCAACTTAATGTATTCAGGGTAATTTGGGGTGAAAAATGAAGTGTACTTTAAAATAATTATTTGATAGATAGACCTGAAAAAAGAAATTTCCATCACATCAGGATTGTTCTAGTAACAGGGCTGTGGTTCGAGAGGTCAGAAATGTAATGGAGATTCGTCACTTACACTGAGCTGAAAGGCAGGATATTTTTTTTCTTTTTTAATAATGTGGCCTCGAGGTTAGCGTCGTGGGTGTCAGATATAGATTTGACATTTTTCACAGAGCTGAGCCAGTCTGTAAATTAGTTCCTGAATGTGTCCACTCCTACATCACAAGATGACTCATATCCTGTCATTGTCCATTTTAATCCCTTCTACTTTTCACTCTGTAGGCAAGTGAATGTAAGTTATTATTCTAGTCTATTTCGTGGAAAACAGAGAAACAAAAAAGCACCCACTGCGTGGACCTAATTTATTTATTTTTACCAATAATGGGAGAATTAATTTGGATAATCTACTTAAGGAGTTAGTCATATTTTTTAAGCTTTTCCAATTATATGTTCGCCATGCTTGAATTTTTTTGATGTTTTTACATATTGCGCACATAACCTGAAAGAACTTAACATGATGAGCATTAACTAAGAAGATTATATTTTTTAGTGCCCACCAAATCTTCATAAACAAGATGGATATGCATGCAATCAAAATCAGGTATGCCGGGCTATACATTTTAAGTGTTAAATTTAAAAAGATAGTGTGCTAGGTGTTTGTTTTGTTGTTTTTTAAATAAATACAAGTTTGAAAGGAAATTACAACTCAAACAATAGTAAAATATTACAGTGGTCCTCTGATCTGGAGTTGCTTTGTGTCGTACCAAATACTAACTGTATTATATTTAACTCTGATGACAAATTATCCAGATTAAGGGCAAGAATTAGGAATCCAATTTATTGAGTTGTGACTATCTTCAATACCAGTCTGTTTATTTTGGAAAAAATACGGCAATCTGTTATAATGTGCCCTCCCCCCCCACCCCCGCCCCAAAGCCATGTTATAACCTAACTATTCACAAACAAAAGAAGCTAAAAATCATCTTGGTATCACCCAAAGCAATTTAGCAATTGCTGTTTACCATAAAGTTTTATATTTTAGATGATTAGATTTAAAGAGCTGTACTATGAGGTCTGTTCTTAGTTTTAGATTTTTAGCTGTCTGTTATTCTTCTGCTTGTCTGAAGATGTTCGTGCTTCTCATTTTCACTGTGAAAATTTGGGGGGAAACAGAACTGGCTCCGTGTGCCTCATAAGGTGTGTGTTCTTGTCCTCAGGGTCGCTGCTACAGTGGGGAGTGCAAGACCCGGGACAACCAATGTCAGTACATCTGGGGAACAAGTAGGTTGCGTTTTCCTGTTGATGCTCACCCACAGGTTTCTCTTCACATTGTCCTTCTCTGCCTGCCTTGCTGAGAGAGATGTGGAGCTTGGAGTGAGGTTTTAAAGAAATCTAGAAAAGGGTGAAATAAAGAGAACTGTGACTCTTAGTCACAGAACCACAGGAACGTCTGCTGCAGTGGGGGGGCTTGTCATGAGAACCCGAAAGCGCCATTCAGTGCTCGTGGCGGTAAGAGTAGGGACAGTATATCCATGCAGAGATCGGGTTGAGTGCAGGGGTCACGTCGTTACCCAGACACTTGCATAACTTATTTTGTATCTTGGATTTAACATTTATCCCCCGCCAAAACTTGGCCATCTGTTCTTTTACCCCAGGAAAGTTCCAGCCCTTGTTTTTTAAATTCTGTAACTTGCTGTCCTTAGTGTGAACTAAAGAAATGCAGGTACTGCCCAGAGTGCAGACAGATAGAGATGCGGGTACATGGTCTGATTCTCGGCACGTTCTCTGCCTCTTAATACACGTGATATTGTCCTGGCATTTGCAGCGCCTCCCAGTGAACTTTGCATAATGAGGGCCAGACCAGAGGAGAGAGAAAAGGGTCTGCTCTGCTGGCTGAGGCTGGTCATCCCCAAAGATACAGAAAGCACACAAAAGGGGGATAGAGGCCTTGCACAGTGCTTCCAGTGTTTGGCAAATATCATCTGACTGGAAGATATACTTTTGGGGCTTCAGTTTTGACAGAGGAAAGGTAATAGAGGCATATTTCTTAAAAAAAAAAAGGTTTAAATGTTAAAATCTGATTTTCAAGGTAAAATTTCAGTTGGCTAAGACTTTGTGGTATCTCCTAATATTAATATAAAGCAAGACTAAGTGCGTTTATATGTTTTCTATGTGTCACTTCACTAATTTCTGCTGATGATCGTTCCTACTTCCTCCCCTCAAACCTGCCAGCAAGAATTGGGAATACATTTGTTTCTCAAGTTAAAAGTAGCGGTGTGTTGGAGCTGTCTTGCATTAGCTTGTGAGAGCCAACTGTTAAAATTTCAGGACTTTTAGAAGCCAGTTGACATCACACTGAGACCTTGAAATTAGCCATGTGTCACACCATGGAAATTTACATAATGGTATTTACACCATGGAAGCTGGTAAATGCTACAAATGAGAATTTTTTTTATTTGTAATTTTTGGAGAATCAGTTGTCAAACGTTTACCAGCACACCACTGGTTATCGATAACAAAGAGAACTAAAATAAATCTTCTCTTGCTCATCTCCCAAAGAGGCCTCGGGTTCCGACAAGTTCTGCTATGAAAAGCTGAACACAGAAGGCACGGAGAAGGGAAACTGTGGGAAGGACGGAGACCGATGGATTCAGTGCAGCAAACAGTGAGTGGTCAGCTTTGGGGCGTGATGAGCGGATGGAAAGGCCTGGTTCAAATGTGAAATGGCACACCAATGTCACTGATTTTTTATAATGTCAGTTATTTCAAATTTTAAAGTATGCATATAAAAATGTTAGCCGTATGTGAGGGTGATTGGGCTGCGACATCTGTCACCCCACTGATCGCCAGGGTTGATTCGGCTGATCTGGCTGGCTAGGCAGGTGTCCCCCTCCTCCCTCACCGATCCATGTGCGTCCCTCTTGAAGCTGCGCCTTCCCCCCAGAGGAGAGGACCGGTCTTCGATCAAGGGTATACAAGTAGCTGCGCTCCCCTGCTAGAACCTCCAAACAAGCTCTTAAAAATATGTTAGTATATCTGGAAGCAAATGGCTACGGACTAACCTTTCTATGCACAGACTCACATTATTTCTGTAAAATTCAGAATATTTCTCATAGACTTCATTTTACCTGATGCTTGTCTTGAAGAGATATGTTGCCAATAGGTAACTAATTAATATTAGACTGGTCAGGGCTGTATCAGAGATTTTTATTCCCTTCTGGAAAGCATCTATTCACTGCACACTGGAGGCTTCTTTATGAGGAAATGAGATATTTTCAGAGCTCATCAGTGATATTTTCCTCTTGATTAGTTGAGGAAAGTTAATACTACGATTTAATGATTTACTCAGTGACATGGATCTATGGGACCTTTAGGTTATAGG